AGTGTGTAAAGCTTGAAATACGCGTGTCTGATTCGATCCTATATGTACCGTATACCTACACTCGTATGATTGATTCCGGTTGGGTCCAGGTATATTATTAGTAATTAAACTATCAGTGATTAGTAATTTGTATAAAAAAAAATATTAATAAAATATGTCTAGAAAAATCCTAGTGCTAACAAGCGTGGGCGTTCGTTGCATGAAATAAAACGGAAACCAATTCAAATATTCAATAGCATTAATAATTGTTTTAGGTATGAGAACAATAATTCATAAATAGTATTCAATACTTGATAGTCGATACATACTCATAATATTATTATTATATGTAATACGCGTCATGTGACATACACAGATTAGTAGATTTACGTAACAATACTGTCCTATACGCGTGTTGCAGTTTAAAAGTATTGTGCAAAAACGAAGAAATCCCGGTGAGTCGCTATACAGCAGAATTGGGAAAGGTTTATTGAAAATAAATGTTTTATCAAAAAGTATGTATAATAGATAGTAAATACTTTCCCTCTCAGAGCTAGTGCGATAATGAAATGAATAAAAAAAATCTATAAGTTATTAGCTTTTTTCGTAATGATATATACATACTGCGTGCCGGTGATCTTGTGGTTTTTACCGTTATAATAATAAACTCTATATAGTTTAAAAATAAAAATATACGAAACAAAAAACACTTGTCTCTATAGACTATACGTTGAAGTTTGATATCGAAACGCACATTCGTTTTCGTTTTTTATTTTATCACGCTACTGCTGTGATGATAATGTGAATTAGATATATCATAATTCATAATATGGGTTAGAGAAACCGACCACAAACAATTGCGCGAATAATTATTATATCATATATTAGCACGGCAAATTCATAATGATGATAATAATATGTATATGACTAACTGAACATGCACGGGTTTATTTTTAGTATTGCCTAAAATTAAATGAAACATTTCGAGCTCAGCATATAAAAAATGCGTGTATGAATAGTCATAAGGAACTAAAGGAATTGAGTAACGATAGGGATGCATGGACGACTGCAGCAAACCAATCTAAGGATTAAGACTGAAGAGAGAGAGAGAGAGTATATTATATTAGGTATATTGAATATTATAATATTATTATTCACTTGTCATTGCAATTATTATTCTGCATAAACATTAATTTTAATACCCAACGGCCATCTATATGCAATTAAAGTGTAAAATACAATATTTAATTCCAATATAACCTATAAACGATGGCTAATGGTTGAAGAGTGGTAATAAAATGTATGATTAACAATATTAAAAACTAATATATAAATATATAACCTATATAAGATTTTATTGAATAATTATAATATGTAGTTTACAGGAATTTTCAAGAACGCATTTAAATTTTAAACAAGAATAATGATATCCTTTTTGACCAAGGATTATAATTTAAGTATTTAAAAAACTGTATATGTACCAAAAACATGATATACATTTTAGTACACTTGTCAGTGACRTTTTTGACAAGTTGCACAATATTGAAATTCACAAATAATTACCCACGTAGAACGGTGACACGTAGATTTAACCACTTTTCACGGTTTATTTCATTCTATACAGTTGAACAATATGGGAATTCATCCACGTGATAAAAAAAAATATAGTAATAATTTTGTTAACCCAGCTTTCATTTCTTTCTTCACTGCAACAGTTGTTAACTATATTCAATCATAATAGCACTATGGTGTGTGAAATAAGACATTTTACGAACTATTATCACGAATGTTTCAGATAAAAACACCGCGTGAAATTTTAAATAGATATATTTTTATACTCTAATATTTATATTAAATATTTAATCAATGATTTATTCTCGTATACGTGCGTAACACATGTAAAAAAACTGAATCAGTATAATATTATACCTAGTAAGAATACAACATATATCGCCATATCGGTAGCCTAGTCACGATTCTATCACCGTTTCCAACACATGATTTATGTCTATACTGTAGTAACGTATGATTATGGAGGACGGGCCGGGGGATTACGAATGTTATTGAATTTTACCGAAACCCCATCAACCCTGTATGTACATTATATACGATTTTGTAAGTATTTGTTTGTGTATTGTGTATAACGCCGAGAAAATAAAAAATAATAATCAAATAACTGAGTGGAGACTTTAACGACTATATATGTACCTACGGAAACAATATGATTCCCAAGGATCCGGCATTCGTCAAGGTACCAATTATTATTGTCAGACTATAGTCGAAAACATTGTTAACGGAGTCTAAATATTTTCATCTCACTCTTTATCCTATTTTAATGACGTTACCTAAACAAAATAAAAAATAACCAAACTCGTTAATGTTCGGCGTAATAAGTACATGTATACTGTATAGGTATATAATTTGCAGTGCCAAGATTTATTATACATAGATTATAGATATATGGTATATCACCTGTTGGATATTATATATGGCTGTTATACATACTTACATATACTCATAACTACATCTTACATCTAATAGGTATATAGGATCATTTTAAACCCCGTATTATTCTATGTTTACAATATTTATGATCTTTAATAAGTATTTGATATCATTTTACAGAGCACACAACAGTGGGCACGTTAACTTGGTCACAGACGGTGTAATATTTCGTATTGACTTATTTTTTTTATCAATAATAAACATACACGCACACGCACTTCAAACACCACGAGGTCCATTGGGTCAAACCGCATTTTCCGGTGTTCAATAGGGTGTCTATAGGGGCCTTAGATTTCAGTGTCAAATTTATAACCTCTCACAAAAAATATATATATAACTCGTAAGCGTGAGAAAATTTTGACAACTAACAATCATTTACAAAGATAATTATTTTAAACGGTAGCAATAATTTTGTCAATACACTTAATTTTTACTGAAAACATACAATCAAATAATATACAACATGAAAACATTAAAAATATTAAGAACCGCGAATTACGTTTATTCTAGAGTCGATCTTATTGGTTAAAAGAATAAAATTTGAAAATCAATCATGTACTATTTAGTTTATTACAAACGCATAACCGTATACTATACCTACGTAATAACATATTTTAATAGACAGAAAATCATAACCTCTGTGAATGGCGCATGATAAGATTTATAAATTAGCGCTAGTTTTCAAGTCATTCCCGAAAAGAAAATATTTTACTCGCTTCTTATTTCATAAACAATAAATCATTTTTTTTAACTAATCAAGAATGTTTTGTMTTAGTGGGAACTTRTTTAAGCATGTATTTGAGGTAATCCATTTAATRCAAGACAATCACTTTCCAGAAAAGTAAAACTTTTTGAAAATATTGTTKATAATTTTATTTTATTTTATTATTATAATTTTTAAGTTTTTAATAGTCTTTTGAATGACGATTTAWATTTTTAATTTCATAGTATTTCCGCAGCTGATTATTATTTGGAGTATTACGATCTATCAAAATCAAATTTCGGACATGTAGTTAAATTGTTATTACTATAACTACTTATAAGTATTTACAGTTTAGACGAATAGAGTAGTGGATCAACATTTTGCAATTATCGCTATAGCTCTCCGCTCAACTCGTCTAAGCTTTAAAGTTGAAATATTTATAAATCATAAACTACTTGTATAGAATTCGATTTTTATGTTATCTAAAAATATTCTACTTAGGAATAAAAAATTAAAATGCATGGTGTCGTTAATTTTTTTTTATGATAACGATAAAACTAATAAAAAATAAGTGATTTTTAACTACTTAAATTATACTGGAGAAATATTTCCAAAAATATTAATAGTATTTGAATTAATAAGTGTCTTACGATATATGTATCATCCAATTTATAACATTATGTCCCCAAATAATATGACAGTAATAGGTATAAATTGGTGCTTCCATAATATATATTATWCATAAATATAAATCATTGCTATAATTTTCAATTACGTGATTTTAATTTTGTGGACTTCATAAGTACCTACTAATGTTGTTAAATACTTTAATTTTAATTTTTAAATATTTAATTTTTAGTGGAAATTTATACTTTAACCTTCTAATATTGTATGCAATATAAAAAACACCATGCAATTCTTATGACTGACATTAAAGTAATAAAGGTATTAATAAGTAATAACCATTTGAGTGAGAATAGGACTAGGACACACTAATCTGAATCACTGAGACACTGAATCAATCGTACCTTATTATCAAAGTGCCTTCTTGCATGTAACATAGATCACGTAGGTATAATGCATTAAAAATCTTATAACCAATTGCATAGTGATCAACTGTTCTAAATAAACTGAATCACGTGAGTTCTTCAAAAATTTATCTTTACTATAATAATTATAAGCACTCAATAAAAACMAACTTGAGGCTAAAATTTAAAAAAAAATTCATTAGATTTGAGATGTTATAATTTGTATTTAACTTAAATTAAGAGTAACCATTAAAAAATAWAAAAGTAAATTTGTTGGCTAAAAGAAAGTAAACTTTGATATATGTGCTGTCCATTTACACCACAATAGTTGAACCTTAACGTTTAATAAAATTACAATTGTTCAATATGTGTGCTCACTGATCAATGAATAATGATGATCATCCCGGTAAAGTTAAAAATATAAATCTTTACAATAGTATGATTGATACAGAAACAAGTGGTTTTGAAATACATAAACTTTTTTTCTTTCTGTGGACAAACAGTTTCATTCATTCTAACGTTTGATTACTTTGATTCATTCATTAGTATACAATGCACAGTTGTTCTACACATTTTAGGTAAACCAGAACCATGGTTAATCATGTTTGAAAAAAGCTACCGGCAGCTCCTTAAATTCTGCGGTGTACCTCAGAGCTGCGGTCAGCCCTGTGTATACATAGTGCGGTCGTCATCGGGTTCACTTTATGTATTACATAYGAGCGGCGTACTTTTGATGCATTTTTTTAACCAGAATAAAATCAATATTAAAACATAATATGCCTTACCTTGGTTATTCGTTGACCGATACGACTGCTCGAGGATGGGTGATTCTTCGGTCTTCACTCGGCGATATGTATCCAACTCCCGTAAATGATTAGAAAACGATGCATTTTCCATAAAGGGCCTCTGGCCGAGGCCCAATCCACGAAACTGATGAGGTGGACCTTGGTGCACAGGAAAAACAAAAAGCACAACATTTCCAATATAAATATGGACATTTTATAACTGCAGTTGATTATATAAAAATATGTAACTGATTATTTATGTTCCTACAAGTATTTTAAATGTTTAATTATTCGTTAGTATATATTATCTACTATTCTACACTTAAGGGTTTCTATATCGTATATACAATAAAAATACTAACAAATAAGAATTGTTTAATTTCTATCATACTCACGTACTTAGTGGTGGTCAAAAGAATTTGTCAACTGGGAGGAGGGGGCTGATTTTTTTAGCATTCACTAATTGGGTGTTTAAAATATATAATTTATGATTATCAGATCTTAAACATTGAAGTTCAATGAATCGTACTCCTCAATTTAAACATTTAACAAACTCGATATTGTAAAAACTTTTAACTGACATTATATTTAATTAACTCTTTATTAATATATTATTCTCATCCTTTAATATTTTAATTTAATAATAATTAAATCATTATTAACGAGCATATATTATGTTTTAAGGTCAATAATAATATTAACTCATCTTTGCAGATAAAATTTTATACTATTTTAGTACATATATGRACAAATGATAACTGAATTTAGTAAAAGTTTAGAAAATATTAGTCTTATTTTAATTTACCATTAGAGGTTCCCACGGATGTTAGCGGTCGAGATAAAATATAATATATTGTACAACGATAGGAAAACGCACAATATAATTTTGCCGAAATGCAAAAAAAATATTTATCGTTAACTGATAAAAATATAATATTGGTTCTCATGGACCAAAAAAAACATATTCACATACACAAAAATATTTGATTGTCATATTTGTCCTATCGATTAAAGTTATTTTTATTATTATTACATTTTTTTCAATTTTGTTCTTTTATTGTAAATTCACAGATCACGTTCAAAAGTAAAGCGACTAAAATTGGCCTGCGTGTTTAAATAATTATATATATAATAATAATAATTGAGKCTATTTACAGTTACAAAAACTACCAGGAGGTTTGCCACATGGTTTTCCGGAGCCTATTCACAACAAAGTCACGCTTTTTGGTGTTATTGTTATACCTACCGATATCAATAAAATGTAGACACACATATAAATGGAATTTAATGAAATTAAACTGAACGTAATTGAGGGAAGTTAGGACTGCAGGAGTATAAAAACTCTTTATATAGATAATATTTTTGTTTATATTATACTATTGTATTACAAACAAACATATGTTATCTTCTAAAACATTCAATTTCCGCAATTTAAATTTAAAAAAAAAAACACGAAGAAAAGGTTAAAGTACCATTAAGAATATACCACGAGTCATAACTAGAGCTTAAAATTATAAATAATTTATGTTTCAAGTATCATTAGAATTAATTTTACGATTTAATATTGAAATACTTACGAGATTTGGATCGTGGTTCTCGAGGTCCATCTACGGTAACTTTGATTGCTTTATTATACGTCGCTACTTGAGGTGGACACGTCGAAACGGTAATTGTGATCGTAAAACTTTTCCCTAAATAGAAATATACAATGTTATAGAGTAAAATAAACTGTCATTAAAAATATATTTTGGTATCAATATTTATCAAGGCCAGATTATTAAATAATTATTAGTTTTCAAAAATCGATTTACTTTTAGTAGGTACCTACTTAGTACCTATAGTATCTACCTGTAAGTTTTAGGTTTATTTTAGTTTATTAACTGAATACATTATTAACTTCATATTAATAAAAAACACCCTAAAATAATATCATATTATATACAAGAAAAAACAAAAATGAAAAAACTTTTTTCTTTCAAAATTCATTTTATAATAATTTGATTTTTCAAAATATCAATTTTCAAAAAAATGAAATTTAGTTGAGAAAATAAATATACATATTATATGAATTTATAATCCTGCCGTAAATATCCTTAAATTGGAGGTGTTCGATCATGTTATGTATGAGTAAATCTCACTTTTCACATATTGTTAATACTAAAAGTTCAAACCATACCATATGTTCAYAATTATAATATTGTAGGCTGTAAATGTATACTGTACAAATCTATCTAATTTCATTGTTATATTTAGGTATTATTGTATGTCCCTATCATTAAGTTCAGGTGACAAGATATTAGATATAAAAGGAAAACTTTAAAAATTAAATTAAAAAAAGAGAAAATGAGTTTTGCGTTTCAAATATAACCAAATCGTATACCTACTTCAAACCTAATCTTCATAATATGACTAGGTATTTACAATACGACATAATAAATTTACAAATATGGTTATTGTATAGTATAAAATAAACATGTTATACATATAATATGTATATACTATATATATATATATACTAAAAATACAAATAATTCATTTTTTATAGCTTTGAATTTTATATGGCCGTGATATTTATGACTCATTCAGCATACAACTTACAT